ACAGCTCCGAGGACGAGCTCACCTTCTTCCAGCGGCTGGTGCGGCCGTGGCGCTGGTTCGACCCCGTCTACAACTTCTTCGCCGGCAGCGGCAGCGACGACGAGGAGGAGGTCTACGACGAGGGCAACTTCCCCGGCCGCTTCCCGGGCCAGCAGGTGGCGCGGCTCGACCAGCGCCAGCCGATCGGACCGCCGCCGCAGCGCTACGTCGCCCGGCCGGCCGCTCCTCTGGCGCGCTCTGACCCCGTCGAGTACCGGCCCGATCAGCGTGCCGCCGAGGCGCTGAGAGCCGAGCAGGAGCGGCCCAGCAGCCGCTAGTCGAAGCAGCGCGCCCCGCCAGTCGGCCGGACCGGCCGGGCCCCGGATCCCAGTCACGCGCGGCCGGTGCGGCCGCACCCGCCTCCACTCGGCCCCGCCGCCGAGCCCCAGCGCCTCTCACTATTCGCCTATTTATTGTATTTATATGTGCATTCACCGAAGTGGAGGCATTTCACATCAGATTGTTAACGTTGTTGTCCCCTGTAGCGAATAGCTAACGATGCAAATATATGTGGAACATCGAACAGACTTTGCTGTGTAGTAAAGCGTAAGAGCAGAAGTCTCTTGCATCAAATTACCTAGCCAGGTAGAATCTTCCAACTATTTTCGTGGCTCGCCAGTCTAAAATGGTAAATTTTCTTGCGCCAGCTCATAAGGCAAACATGAAAGCAAGTTTTTTTTTAAGTAGTTGTCCGGCACAGAAGAATCGAATAAAATCGAAATTTTCTTAGGTAGGTAATAGGTATTTTGGTGCAAGATGCCTGTGGCGCCTCAAAAATTTCACTGACCCACTACGTCTTGGGTGGCTTGATGCAAAAGTCAAAGCAAAAGCAACATTAACATTAAACATTAAAGAGGCATGTACATGTTATATCATGAATACCTAGCTATATCCCATTTTCAAATTCAACTCGAAACGAAGGGATCACCAATAAAAAATCGCAAGAAATTTTTCGCAGGTTGATGGTTCTGAAAAATGACGTCATAGCTTGCGAAGTAGAAGAGCCAGGACGGCGAAAGAAAAACGGTGCAGATTTTATTTTAACACTTCCCTTCCGTGTTTAGGCAACATTTTTGGCTCGAGGTGATCAACGTGGTTAATACAGGATATGAAAATTTAGCCCGTCATTGACTCGGAAAAGGGGCGTAAGACCTCCTGTCAATGCCAAAATAACTCATGGTTTAAAACTCCGATTGCCTTGAAATTTCCTGTAGCTTCTTCCACGCCAAAACTGGTATTTTTGCCAAGTTTCATAGGAAAATTGATGAGCCATAGTAATGTGAAGTCACCACCTTGAAGTCAAGTGTTAGCTAAAAAGTGAAAAACTTGAATCCGTGGAGAGCGTAATTTTTGCTGGATTTGCACGCTATATCTACCACGGATGTCACATAGACTTTACTGTACATATCATGATACAAAATATGACTTAAATTAAAAAGTATTTGTAAATCGCCTCTAAAAAACGTCGCATTTTCTAAAATAAGAAAAAAAAAAACGGAATTAGCATTCCGCCGTGCAAAAGCAAACACGATTATGTTCGGGTGACCTCTGGCCAGGCATCGGTAGGATTGTGATTGCAGGATTGCAAAATCCTGATTGCATTCCTTTTTGGTGGATTGCACCTGGATTTGAAATCCATTCCAAAAAACAGGATTTGATTGCGGATTGGATTGCATCATACTTTCAATTTTTGCAATCCAATCCGGATTGTGTTTGATTACTGCTTTGAAATGGTTTGTTGCGATTGAAAATTATGAGATCGGCTTCATCGGCTTAATGTACTTTGCTATCAAGGGCTTTACATCGAAACTTGAAATAATTTAAACGCTCAAAATAATATACGCTGATGAACAACATAGGAAGGGCAAAATTACGTATTTGAGGGCGAGTTTTAAAAATATAAAACACTGGTTGGGTAGAGGGTTAAATGTGGGGGTGTTTGAGGCAAAAAATATTTCCCATAAAATACCTGTGCCTTAGATAGGAATTACTCGCAAGACTAGGTACTAGAAATGGGTGATTTGGGGATGGAGGCACGGCCCTATGCCCCCCTCCCTTCCCCAGATCCACTAGTGCACATAATAATACAACAGGATTGCAAAAAAAGGATTGCGGATTTGATCACAATCCAAGTGAAAAAAGGGGATTGCGGGTAGGAATGCAATCCACTTCGGCACTAGGAATGTGGATTGGGAATGCAATCCTTTCAAAAAGGATTTTACCGATGCCTGCCTCTGGCTTGACGTAGTAAACTCAGACCTAACGTAATCGTTTTTGCCTTTGTGCGACATTTATACATCAGTGACTCGTCAGTGTCCTAAATATAAAATGTCACCTAAAATTTGACCCCCCTCCCCCAGCACAACATAATATTTCATTCCCAAAAATATGTCAAATGCTGACGTCATTTTACAGATGCCATTTTTCAGAGTTACAGTATAGTGTATACAAATGAATAGAAACATTGTTTTTTCTTACTTAGCTCACTCTCAATCTAATATAAAAAGTTTTATTTGGCATTTTGTTTGCTTGTTTCAATTTGCGTCTTTTACCTGACCGACCAAAAATATTCAGAAAAAAAACACGAGGACGAGGAGTGCTACTGCTAAATATGCAGCTCTCACGGTTTACCGCTCATGCCATGAACACCAAACAACGTCTGACTACGGCACCAGCCACGGGCGGAAGTAGGAGCAAAGGGTGTCTCCTGGAGTGTAGCCAATAGCCACCACCCACCGTCACAACTACGAATAACGACCAAGTCTCGGCGGAAAGGGGCGGACCGGTCACGGCTAGCGCCTCAAGCAGTTCATGCGAGGGGACCGGAAACACGTGACCTCCGGACAGCCCCCAGGTTGTCCGGCTATGTGGGCCCGTTAAACTTGAACGGCAGCACCCGTAGCGTGACACATGCATGCATTGTCCCGTGGGCGCTCACCGATAAAGCCAGTTCTAGAGCAATCACTGCCCAACTTCCAAACCATTGACGAGTTATCGTAGTCGGAAAATTTTTGACGACAATCGACATGGCACGTGGGACGTGCCGTGACGGTCACCTACATACATCAAGAGTAGCCAATATCGTGGTAGAACAGATGGGGCTACCCGACAGCGAAAAACCGTCCCAACCCAAGATTTCTTCCAATGTAATTGAAATAATCCTCATTCACATCCAGCTGTAAAATAGACCACAAGATCTCAATGGATTTGGGATGGGCACTAGTTCCAAGCCTTAGCTCGTTAGCCCAGAAGGATGAGGTCCTCTCAGCATCACTGCTCATTCTTCTGGGGACTTGAAGATGGCGCGCTGACACGCATGAAGACAGCGCAGCTTGAATCAGGCATCCATGCCCGTTCAGAAACCGAGGACTCCTGTGTTGTCCGGTTGAGCGCCTCCAACCATTCGTTGGCCAGGATGTTGCTTCGGTAATGCTCGTCACTGATATTGGTTTTCTGTGGCACCATCTACAGCTGGAACATCGCACAGCAGCTGAGCATGCTCCAGAAATGGATCTTGGCCGGATGTTTGACGCTGGTGACGGCCCGTACGTTCGGGCTGCTGGCCGCTCACAAATGGCCGATTTGACGGTTCAAAGGATGCTACAACTCGGACGGCGACCCATCCAACCCGACCACCTCACCCATGTCTTCCCTGCATCAGTGGACGCGCTCTGGCGTGATGCCAAAGGTGGTGGACTCAGGGCTGGCTGTTTTCCCGTCAAGTTCGTTGTCTTTTTCAATTCAAAGGGCAGCAGAACCAAGTTAAAGGGCGGGTAGCGGTGGATCATGATGTGGTACCCCTTACTATCTGCCTAAGAATACGTGTCAGGTTGCGGATTGATAGGTACACTCGGGGGCAGATTGATGTTCCACGACTCCCTACCCATCGAGCTCCCATGGCTCAGCACTGGCTGCTGCCAGTGGCAGCACTGGCAGCACTGGCACTGGCATGCAGTGCTGAGCAGTGCTGAGGGCAGGCAACACTGACAGCAGCCAGTGCTGAGCCATGGGATCGCCCGATGGGTAGGGGGTGGTGGAACATCAATCTGCCCCCGAGTGTACCATTTCTTTGCCGCTATCTTGACAACTCTACTTGCCACATGACAAAGGGCGGTTTTTGCGGTCGCGGCCGGGCTGAGTCTGCCCTTGAATCCCAGCTTAAAACGCCTCAGGCAGATGTGCAGCTGGCTGCTGCCGATGTCCAGCTGCTGGCAGACCAGCTTCTGGCTCAAGCCACCATGGATACCGCCATGACACCAGCCTGCAATTTCGCTACGATAGTAGACTGTACTCCTTTCTCACCACTGCCTTGGATGAAAACTATCAAATGAATCTGTCGGTGACTCGACCCTTACTCAGAGCAAGGGTCACCTCGCAGGGTCAGGTCACTGCTTAATTGAGAGCCCATACCACAGGCACGCATTCATCCAATATTCCCGCCTCCAACATCAGAAAAGAAACTGCTCTAACAAAAAGGTGAAAACAAAAATGAATGTCCGGATAATTTCGTTACACCCTGTATACCGAAAGAACAATTTACAAGGGAAACTTCAACGAATCACCAAGAAGATATCGCTGTTGTCTATCGCTGTTGCTTATATAGCTGTTTATCCAAATCGCTCTAAGTTTCACTTGAATTGGATAAAATGCGTCGAATACTGACTGTTTTCCAAACAAACGAACATTGGACCGGCATGAGCGATCCATTATGCCCATACGCTGCAGGTTTTGCTAAAATGCCTCACACCGGCGCCACCTATGCGGAGAATGATCGGTCGAGTGGACATTGCTAGTTCCATTACAACCTGGCAACGACATTCTAACAGTGAGAAGTAAAACTATAAACAGGACAGCTCACCTCCATAATTTGCCGGTACACCCGAGGACCGCTCCATCCAGCCCGGTACACCTAGGGGCGCTCCCCTCCAGCCCGGTAGGCCCGAGGGCCGAGAGCGACTCACCTCCAGCACCTGCCGGTACGCCTGGCGCCACTGTTTCTCGCTGAGCAGGACGTCCTTGAGCTTAGGCGCCGGCCGCTGCCGATCTCCGATGAAAGACATGAGCAGCACGTGCTGTTTGAGCACCAGAGGCAGCGGACAGCGGATGCCGGCGTTGGTTAGCCGCTTCAGATTACACATCTCCTTCTCCGCCCATAGGTGAACCATCTTACGCGGATTCTGAAACAAAAAGCAGATATGTTAAAAAGTCGAGTATAGGGTTACCGTAAAAGCAGTGTGACTCCGCAATGGTGAATTTATATAAACTACCTTATGTATCTAGAAAACAAGCATTACCTGCTTCGATATCTTGTCTTTGAAGCGTATGTCAGACTTGATGTACTTCTCTCTGGTTTTGAACTCGTTGAGAGTCGTTTTGAAAACCTTGATGGCACATTCGTCAGGAATCTCCACCTGGCGAATGTCTTCGGCTTCGTTCTCCATGCTGCCGTGACATAGGCAAATCAGAGCACGGAATTAGTAGCCAGTAACGGTAAGAAGGAAATGTTCTGTGAGGTGCGAGTCAGCGAGACATTGCCATACTCAGTCTGATAACATACTTTCTTTTGGGTCCAATGCAAGTGGGGTCGAGTCAAACCAAGGAACGTTTTAGCAAGGCGTTTTTGTTTTCCTGACTAACTGGCCACCTGGGTCAAATCTACGGCGACACTGGGTCTGTCAGCTGTACGCTGAACGCATCCTTCACAGCTTCATCGGATTTGAGTGTGCCGATTTTGTCTGGTACACTCGCCGCCGCTAGAGGGACGGGATGTTTTGACAACGGACACCGTCTCTGCGTGGGTTAAGTGCTGCTGAGATGACCCTCTGTCAGCAGGCACAGACACTGCTCCCTGCTGAACTACACCCACCCGAGGTGACATAAACCACCAACTACAGGCACAAGAGACCCTGACCCATCTGACTACCACGTCCGTGCAGAGACGGAGTACTAGATCGGACCCACAGCGTCAGCCGCACCTGCCGCCCCAGGCGTGGAACACGGTGGCCTCCTTGCCGGTGCTGATGGCGCCGTTCACGTCCTCCAGCACGCCGCTGTTGACCATCTTCAGGATCATGAGGCGAGTGTGCCGGTCCAGCGCTCCGGACGTCGATCGGTCCTCCTTGTCATTCACGCGGTGACGCCGCTGTGCCACGTTGCGCGCGTGCTGACGGAGACCATTGAGAACCTGACGGAGCACCAGAGGCGTGAGGGTCAGATCCGGACACATAGAGACGTGGTAAGACACAACCTGACTAAAGACGGAACAGATACAGCTATACAGACAGGACACGCAAAAGGGTATAAAGCGAGAAAACTGAGAAACCTCAGTCCCCAGTCGTAATACAACAGTCCGTGACATGACATAAGAGATGTGACGAGTGGTATAAATAAGGATGGAGTGCGGCGATGACGTGACCGGAGGCCGACCCTTAAGTCGTCAATGACAGCATGCTCACCCCGTTGTTGATCTCCATGTCGAAGCTGCCTCCGTCGCCAGTGCAGACTGAAGGCGGCAGATCCATTACCTTGCAGGCATTCTTACGGCCGGCGATACGTCCATCGTGCTTGGTCACCATTTTCTCCTTGTGCATCGTGTAGCCACACCGGGGTATCTGCGGGTCCTCTCGCTCCCGGCTCTGGAAAAGAAACGTAAGAACTTATCAGTGAAGCACCTGACCAGAGAGCACTGGACAGACAAAAGTTCGACCACAGCGGGGCGTCAACATGTTATCTAGGAACTATGGAGCATGCTATTGCAGCATAACCAATGCTAATAAGGCATCCGTTGCATTTTGGAATGGTGAATTTAGAGATAAATGCATTTTCTAGTTGTTTCTTTTTTGGCTGTGCTATATGAGCTGAGTAGCGTGTTAAGCACATACCATTTTGAGCTTGCTAGTTGGATAAATGAGAACTTATGTAACACACAATAGGAAGCCCACCTCGAACGAATCCCAATCGCGGCTGGCGTCGTAGTCGTCTGGGTAGTCCTCCTCCTCTTCATCGGGCTCCAGAACGGGGTACGAGTGCGACAGACGGTAGTTCCGGTAGCTGACACTCACTGCACAACACACAATGCGAACGACATCGTCATCGGGTATAAAAGGCAGCTCAGCTCTGTGCTCCTGGCCTGATACTCTCCCGTACACCTTCTTTTATGCATGTGACGGTAGATAACACGCGTGCTCGAGGAACCCTCGCGGCACAGCGTGCATTCACGCAACAGGTGACCCATAACGTGCTTGACTTATGAGGGCACTCAGACTTGTACGTCTTTGTTTCGCGATATCCCACGATTCTGGCCCCTCGTGCGATACATAAAAAAATCCCTGCCCGTTGAACATTGTCGACACACTCCGTCACAAGTATCTATCCATTTCGAAAAAGAATCGGCCACTCTCTAACGACTAGTGTCTGAGCTGTCTGAGCTCTGAGCTACCTTTAGAGCCGCCGTTGGCCTTGCGCTCCTCGATTTGCAGCAGCGTATCCGACTCGCGGTCCAGCTGATCCTGCATCAGCTGCGCCAGCAGCAGGTCACTGCTGACGTCCGACTGCTCGGCGGCGGTCAGTGGCTCCTCCGCGGCACACGCGCCGCCGACCGGCTCCCAGCCGCCGGTCGCGCGCGCCAGCTCGTCCTCCCTGCGGCCGGCAACGGGCAGGGGTACTCCGGAGGCCGACTCGCGGACTAACGTTCACGTGCCACTCACGATCACTAATCACAACAAACTGGCCACAACACAATTTGTAAGGTTAAAAAATGCAAAGGAAATTCATAAATATACAAACAAATGAATGATTAAATAAATGAATAAATAAATGAATAAAACATTTACTATGAACCTTAATAGATGCTTGCTACTCAGGTCATATCTTATGCACGGTTGAAGCAAAAATGTCTGGTAGACACTGCAAAGGTTTGCCAAGATACAGGGTGAAACTTTAAACCTTAAACAGATGTCGCAGAAGCCCTTTTGACAATTTACCATGAATGCTATCTTTTATACCAGTTATGAATTTTGCATAGGCGAGCCAAGGGATAGGGATGCATTGCAGTTATTATGGCCCCAACACTTTTAGGTAGCCTGTTTGACCCATTGAAAAACAAATGCCAGATGTGCTATTTCAAGTTTGAATAATTTGAAAAGAAGGATTAAAAAGCTAGATTTCACACTAAGCAGGGTTTGCTCAAAGGCCTGACCTCCAAGTGCACAAGCCTGCCAGGAAAGTTTGGGTAACCAAAAATTGTGATTAATCAGACCAGCCAAAGAGAAGGGCTTCTATAACTGCCTACATGACTTGACTTTCTGATTCACACCTTGATACCAGGAACAGCTCTGGGTTAACCCAAATTTGGACACTGACTTCAAGGAGTACAATTATGTACCTTACTGAGCTAAATAATAATACAAATACCTTGGCCTTGGCCCTACCACATGTTTTATTTTTGTATCTCTTCTCAACATTTTACCAACCAATAGCTACCTTTACCATTAACAACCATTGGACACCCATATGCCATCCTGCTCCAGCTGTCCTCCTTCAATTGGGCAACAGCTTATGCCACTGAATATTAGCCATCAGCCACAAGCTCTCTTCCCCTTCTGAAATGCAGACTTGATGTTTTGCTAGTGTATAAATGGTGAATAGCAGTTTATTTTTTTCTGATCTGATCCTCCCTTTACATGTTTGTTCCATCTTGACTGACAATACTGTAAACATCTCTTCAATGTTTGTGTTGCATGCTGATGTGTATCAGGAGCCTAGCTGACCAGCCTATGCACCATAATAGCCAAGAATCTTTACCACAGCAGTCTTCAATAAAAAGTAAGTCTGGTTTGTCAGTACCACCAACTCACTTCTTTTGTAGATCCATAGCAAGCTGCTCTGACATGACATCATCCAGAGATGTCACAGCATGCTTCACAGACCCCCAGGCTGATAAAGAAGCCATCTAAAAGGGAAGACAATCAGGTTACTACATGTGATGGCACTGGTGGGTGTTGTTATGTAATTGCCATCCTACGCATAAAACTGACATTGGCTATCAGTCATAAATTACTAAATAAAATGTAAAATATCCACAGTCTTGCAACTAATGACAGTATCACTTAATCCCTCACAGGGATACATATACTATAAAGCCTTTGAAATTACTCTGACATCCAAAAGGTGTAAAATAGAGCAGATATTCAGATTTTCATACAGTTTATACAGCCATCAGATCATAACACCCTAGATAGAGATCAGATAAGAAAGATCACCAGGAAACTGGAAGTTAGTTAGGAACCACTAACCACATATCAATATTAGAGCTTAGCTTTGATACCTAAATCTACCAATACTTTTTTGGCTTATGCAATCTTTAACTCCCATATGCCATTTTCTAGGTGTTTGTTTACATGTCATAGTTATACATGAATCCTCCAGTAGATACAAATGGATTTTTCAATTATATTCAACTTTAATTCTTGTTCACAGTGTCCCAAAATTGAGTTTTGTCTTGGGTGTCAGAGGGGAAAATTACCCACCAAAAAGAGGGGAGAGAGTGGAAAACTGCTGATTTGATTAGATCCAAAAGGAGTGAGAAATGACAAAAAGCATGCATTTTATTCCAGGGCGTAGAATGTTTGATGCTATAACTGGGCATCCACACAACTGTCTTTCTATAGGTAAAAAATCTACGTTTTCTTGGTTGGGACTTGGGAGTGGAAAATTGTTCTTAAAAATGGTGGTGAGAGTGGAAAATTAATTTCATTTGGATGTCGTTTCCCACCCAAATAGACAAATTTTGGGACATTGCTATACATTAGCCAGCACACCCCTGCATTCTCAATTCAAACTGGAACTCTGCATGATCTAATATAATTATGGAAAACACATTTAACAACCAAATAAGCTATGCTGAACATTTCATAGGACAAAACAAAAATACAAATACTTTTAGGTTTTGTAATTTGAAGTGTCTGTAAACTGTAACAACTAGCAAATGGCCTAAGCACCTGCCTTGAATCAAACCCAGCTTGAGCTCATCATTAAATACCTACCCACCTACCTTATTTGCGTCCCTGCTTACTTCCTGAAACTGCTCCAAAATCTGAAGATATCCTCCACCTTTCAACGACGAAAGACAACTACACACTTGACTACACACATCAACCCCAATCCAACCACTGCAATCCCACGATTCCATGACGGTTTTTCGTCCAGCAGATTTTCGTCGGACAATTTTTCGTCCGCAGATTTTCGTCCGACTTTTTTTCGTCTCGCATTTTTTCGTCTGTACAAATTTTCGTCCGTGCATTTTTTCGTCGGTACATTTTTTCGTCTGTACATTTTTTCGTCCGGACATTTTTTTGTTCGTATATTTTTTCGTCTGTGCATTTTTTCGTCCGGACATTTTTTCGTCTAGAATTTTAACGTAACGTAACCTAACCTAACCTAACCTAACCTAACCTAACCTAACCTTACCTAACCTTACCTACTGATGTTTGCCTACCGGGGGATAAGGAAAAAGTTACTTGCATGAATAGATTGCAAGCAATGGTATTCGGCCTGAAGCCAGATACACAACCACTTAACCTAAAAATATTTGACTTACCATTGCCTGTAATCTCTCCTAAGGCATTGCCTTCGGCACTGCACTGCTTCGCCCCGAGTATTATTATGACGTCATTTGCCTCACAGTTGAATAGCATTGTAGCATGGAGGAGAGAATGTACTCCTTCCTCCATGATTGTAGTATGTTTTCACTCAACCTTGGGTGCACAGACGTAAAATTTATTGAACGAAAAAATGTCCGGACGAAAATATGTACAGACGAAAAAATATACGAACGAAAAAATATCCGGACGAAAAAATGTACAGACGAAAAAATGTACAGACGAAAAAATGCACAGACGAAAAAATGTACAGACGAAAAAATGCGAGACGAAAAAAAGTCGGACGAAAATCTGCGGACGAAAAACTGTCCGACGAAAAAATGTCGGACGAAATTTTGTCCGGACACGCAATCCCACTGATCCACTTCAACTTGGCTAATCGCCACTGAACTCTGTTATCGGGGTTACATGAGCACAGTAAATACGTATTTAGCCGCTAATTCGAATTAGGAACGCATTACCGACTCATGTAGCCACCTGCTAGTACGAATCGGCGATCCGATCCGCGGTTACATGAGCAAAGCAAATACGTATCACGATCGGATTCACCGCTAATGCGAATCAGGAGCGTACTACCGACTCATGTATCCACCTGCTAATACGAATCGGCGGTCCAAACAAAATCCGCTGAGAAAGAGGCTTAGAAGCGAATAGGACCAAGATACGTATTACAGGAACTATTTCTTTCCAAAAAGAAACATTAAAATGCAAAATAATAGGTATTTTTTTCATTTGCTTCTTTTGAAATAATAATTAAAAAAATATATCGGTATTTTGTCAATAAATATAGTGAAAACCAAAAAGAAAATATCAAAGTACTTTCAGTTGAAACATTTTTCTGACAGCACTACAGACGAATCAAGAGAGGCAAGTGCCCAATGAGTCAAAGCAAGACAACTTTATGTTCAACTTTTTTTTGTTAAGTTAATTGAGGATGTTCTGAGCAGATTAAATGCAAAAAAGACATGAGATATTAAATTTTTAATTCAGTCACCTCTTTTGCTACGGAAGTGCGCCACATTTGTATGCTATTCCGTTTGTAATGCGCATCGGGCCGAGAGCCAAACTAGACCCGTTTGACGTCACTGATACGAATTTGCTCTTGTAGTCGGTGCACTGAATGCGTTCTTGGGGAGCTGATGCGAATTAGCGATAGTGCGTATTTGGAACGGATCGCTCATGTAACCGAAACGTCCGAGGCACACGATTCGGGCCGTATTTCACAAGAACTATTCTTTGCTGACTGGAAGCGTCAAAATGCAAAATACTAAGCATTTTTTTTTATTGGCTGCCTCGTAGAAAATAACAAAAAAAAATGTTGGTATTTTGGTTTAGTCTTTGCATGTGAAATAAAATGAATGAAATATTTTGATAGATAATTTTTTCTGACCACCCTGCTGTCGCTGCATGGCGAATCAGTGCCCATTGACTTAAAACAAGAAAACTTTGTTTTCATTTTTTGATTTCATGTTAATTTTAAATGTTTTTGAGCCTATCAAATGATATAATTATTTAAAATTTAGCTCAGTCGTCCCGGTAAATGCCGCAACTGCGCCATGACTGTACGCTAATCCTATTCCGTTTGTGATGCGAATTACCGGCCGTCGAGGAGTCAGCCCGGGTGAGCCAAACAAGATCCGTTTGACGTAGATAAAACGAATTAGTCTCATGTAACCGGTGCCGTAGATCCGTTTGTGGGGAGCTGATGCGCATTAGCGTAGTGCGTATTTGGAACGGATCGCTCATGTAACCCCGGTATATAATGTGGAATGCGCATCGGCCGCCAAATGGTGTCCAACGGTGCCGCCATGTTGCGCAGACCAGAAAGCGGCCGCCGCCTGTGCTGGGGAATAGGGAATTCGGGACCTCGATTTACGTTTGCGGTCGCTGCATCCGTTACGCTCAAGCTATGTGGACACGGAACCCGGCATCTTACGCAGAATTGAGTGGAGAACAAGATGAAATCCTAAAAAATCATCAGCTATAAGGAACTAATACGTTAAACCCTTATAAGTCAATGGGGAAATATGAAAATTGTTATTTTGGCGCCGAGAATGATCTGAAACTATCCTCAAGCATATAAAATCATGATTTCATGCACTCTTTGCAAGGTTCTATGCTTCATATTTGCATTGTTGCCCTTGCGTGACGTCATTTGTGACGTCACAAGGGTCACCATTTTTCTTCAATAACTCCCGATCAAATTGAGCTAGCGAGTCGGGAAAGCCACCAATGGACTCAGGAAGACCTGCCGAATCGAATGCTATGCGACATGACCTCTTTCGACCAACTTCGTGACCTGGGGGTGCTGACCTGACCTTGACCTGAGGTCAACACCTTAAGTTGACCTGACCCGAACAAAAAGTATATCACTCGATGCGCCTCAGCTAGCTGAACACGATGATGCCAAAATCGCGGCTCTACGGCCATTTTTGGCGAAGTTATTTACCAAAAACCGAACCCGTGCCTTAGATCACTTGACCTGACCTCAGAGGTCACCGGTTGACCTGAGACCCTTACAGCGGGTTCCTACCAGTCACTCTGCATTATACTTTGCCGCATACGACCACTTTACCGCTTAATTCTAGTTTAATTAGCGGTGCATTAGCGAGGTGGGTTCAATCAACCCCCTCGGCCGGGGCAAATGTAGGTCAGGCGAGTAAATTTGAGGAATTCTGAAGATACGATCGTGTTCCCCACTCAATTCTGCGTAAGATGCCGGGTTCCGTATCTACGTAACTTGAACGTAACGGATACGGCGGCCGCAAACGTAAATCGAGGTCCCGAATTCCCTATTCCTCAACACAGGCGGCAGCCGGTTTCTGGTCTGCGCAATATGGCCGCCACCGTTAGACACTACGGCCAATAGGGTTGAAGCGGCATTGCTCCCCTGTGCTAATCGCCCACGTTGACGCAAATCATTCCATAACATTTCGCAATAGATATGGCAGCCTGGCCCTAGTATCAATAAATAGCCTACTAACTACTAGAAATGGTGTACTTCAGATTGTGTGCTATTGGCGTAAATATGACTTATGCATTTCATTTTTGTTCATTTTGACTTCAAAATATCAGTTTCTTCCTCACCTTTAAGATCTAGGCCGAATCCAAGCAATGTCTATGACTTAGCGACTGTCCGTTCATGATGCTGTTGGTCGAGTTTTCAGGCTTCAGGCACAAAACATACTAGATGAACCAGTCATACCATAATTTGGAAGCAAAACCATGCGGCATCTCTGAAGCGGCCAAGACAAGAAAAAGTAAACAAAAGTTCCCCCCTGTTGCCCTTGTCGAAGGCCGCAGACCGAACGCTTGAGATCAATCTTTGCATTGTGTAGGACCGTAGGGGTAGGTTATTGTTTTTATATACATTGGCCCTTGGGTAGGTATATGTAGACAAATTGGACAGGGATGTAGTAAAAAGCCAGTAGCCTACCAATATATACTCAAGAAACAATTACATATAATTAAGCGGACCGGTTTGATTTGGCAAGTCTCTATCGGAATTGATCAAGGAATTGATTTCATCAGGGTGGTTTAACGAAAACACGGGAAGATACATAACACGGAACTCATAGGCTTGGCCAAGGCTAGGCCCAGTAGCGGCGGAACACCTTCAATTAAGGGGGGGGCACTGTCGACTTTTGGTCCCATTCTTTCCATGCAACGCCCATAGGGCTAGGGGGGCAAGGTGCCCCGGTGCCCTCCCCATTCCGCCACCTATGGCTAGGCCATAGACCTCTGTGGCCGTGGTGCAATGCGATGTTGATATAAAAGATTATTGACATCACCTCGTCGGACTTTAGTCGGACCATTAACGTGTGTACGGGCGCTGGGCCTGGGAGTAGTTCAAGCTGCCGAAGTAGATTTTATTAATGGACTTTCTGGCCAGACGGCAGACACCGCTTCACTCATCAGCCCGAGTAGTTGAATGGGGGGGGGGGGGGGCTATGGAAGATGGCCTTATACCTCATTTGTCCCTTATCAACAGCGCGGAGACTGGGTCAAAATTACTAGCATCTTTCGCCTGGTCAGTCACAATTAACGCCTTCTGTTCGGAGCTAAAGGTGGGCCGGGGTCAGGGGCTCTGCCACATTCCGCCTACTAATACTTACTCGTGAATCTAGCTTGGTCGGGGTCCGATTAGTAGCATGACAAAGTCTTAGGAATGGGCGGCCGTATCGATGTAAGTTCGTAGGAACGATGACAGTTTCTTGTTACCAGGGCGAGAGCAAGGGGCCGACGGTCACCGCGTCACTTCGTTGGCTGATGAACGACAGCGCGGCGCACGTCCGCACGTCGCTCGAGGAGCTCGGCTGTGTGGTGACCACCGCCGGCTGGCCCAGCCTGCGGCTGCGCGCTCTGGGCTGGCTACGGGGCTACCAAGTAGCCACCAACTCGGGCTACTTGGAGAGCGTCGGAGAGCCGCTCGGGCCGCACACAGTGCCGGTGAGTGACGCATCAGTTAGAATATGGGATGGCTGCCCTCTTTCAGCTTCCCTCACCCGGTGTCATTATGATTCATAATGACAAAAGTGTCAATGTGGGCCCGGAGCGAATAAAATGAAAGTGGTACGGGGACCCGCAGTTGCTACTGTACACGAACCCTAAGTCTAACCGTCTGTCCTGTCCAGTAAGAAGTGATAACATTGATATTGACTGCCCGTCCCTGTACAAGAGCAGCTGAGGTTTTCTGTGCGTGCCCTCTGACAGCTTATCGTTGTTCCCTGTGAGGGTGCTGGCCGCTGGGACAATATACTCAGGGTCGCTGTACACTGTACAGTAGCAACTGCGGGTCCCCCTACTCACTACTCATCACCCTTCCCCATAACGGGGACAGGTGTCAGGACATAGGTAAATCAGAAAAAAGCTACCAGCTAATGTTGAAGTCAGGCATTTCCGTCATGCACAGAAAATAGCGTCGAAACCGGTCCGTAGATGTTTCGTAGCTGTTTATCGTGGCCCTTTGAGTCAAATACGTATCATTATTAGCTTTATCTCATGTGTGCACTAAATGCCCTTTCCTCCTGACTGAGGTTCTGCCTCAGGTGGACCTGCGTTTGGTGGACAGTCCTCCAGCCAACAAACTGGTGGAGGTCTTCGGGGAACTTCAGATCGTCGATGGGCGTCCCTGCATCTTGGCAAAGGTAAGAAATATCCGGTATCCGCATCCGGGGAGACGGAACCTCATGTGACAGAAAGTGGAATTTCTTAGTGAGCTCTTCGGATGAGCAACGGCGCCTAGCTTTCACCAATTGATGTTGGGTGATGGGCGATTTCTCGATTACGTCAACGTCATTTGAATGGTGACCTGCTGTGGTAACTCCATAAAGACCGACATTTGGTGTGGTCTGCCAGTTTTTCAGTGAGGCGGACGGCGTGGATGCGACTCTGTACCATCGAGCTACGCAAAAACTGGCCGACCGTTATCCGCAGATTCAACGATAAAACAGTGGAGGCCATTTGCGCTCCAGGCCCTGGCACAGGGGTTTGAGATCTTAAGTTTCTTGAGATCTGGTGAGTTACGACTACCTTGTGTAAAAATGTAAGCAATCGTGAGCTTTACTTGTAAATAGGTATAAATAAATATTTTTGCAAATACTTGTGAAAACTCCAGTTTTCATACTTTTAATTTTATCGCTAAAGAACACATTAACGATTAACATTTATATTTCCGAAAGACAACACTTGGATAAACTTAAGAACGACGTTCTTAGGCAATCATAAAGTATAAAACAAATAAAGTATCACGCACATTGCAAACGCACAAAAGCCGGAATCAGCGGCCGCATGATCCAACTATTCCTATCCTCTAGAATCGTGGATGGTGACCAATGAAACAACCCTGTTCCATTAGCCTATCTGATTCAAAAAGTGTTTCGGTTCCAGAGCAGCACCGGCAAGCATCACGAGCAGAAAAGAACCCACTAAACAGCTCCAGGAAAAACTGGCATGATCCGGACGTAACCGTGGCAGTGTGCAGAGACAGGGTCGTCATGGGAATACGACAATGTGCAAGAAGTTGTCCGCGTAGCTAAAGTGCTGGCTGAGCCACTGCAGGGGCGTATCCATTGGAGGCTCGATGCCGTGAATGATTGCTCGTGCGTCGTCTGCAGGACATAGGTACATTTGTTAATGGGCTCCCGGAAACCTGCAATGGCCGAAAATGTCAAATTTCACCGCTTTCTGAAACCAGAAATATCTTAAAAACACAGATAGGAAACTGAGAAAAAAGAGACGAGACAAATAAGAACAAACGAGCCTAAGAAAGGGAGCGGGAGCGGGAGCGGGAGCGGGAGCGGGAGCGGGAGCGGAGCGAGAGCGAGAGAGCGAGAGAGCGAGAGAGCGAGAGAGCGAGAGAGCGAGAGAGCGAGAGAGCGAGAGAGCGAGAGAGCGAGAGAGCGAGAGAGAGAGAGAGAGAGAGAGAGAGAGAGAGAGAGAGAGAGAGAGAGAGAGAGAGAGAGAGAGAGAGAGAGAGAGAGAGAGAGAGGAGGCAGGCGCGCTCACCGGTCAGGTCGGGCGCCAGCTGGGTAATCAGCTGACGCAGCGTGTTCTGCCGGCCGTCCTCGGCGCGGACAGGCACGGGCCGCTGCACATATGGCGCGCCGGCGCGGTACAGGCGCACCGGCACCGCGCGGAACGCCGACTCGCCCTCACACTCCATCAGGTGACGGTTCACCGCCCAGAATTGGTCAAACTTATCTGCCGGCCACGGGGAAACCCGCGTATGGGGCACATCGGAACGGTGGAACACAACAGTCGCGAGGCAACGTGGCGCATCATGTTTGTAAAAATGCAAATCGAGTTGTCAGTTACAGCGGATATGTTGTGTTAAATGATATATAAATCAATCAGTAATTCAAATTTTAAAGACTACACTGAAAATGAATTACAGTTTTAGTTTTCACTATGGCTACTGACCGAACGCGAGGCCGGTCCACAGTTGGCTGTGGTCTCGTTTGCCGAGCGATGAGATGGCAGACCCCTTGTGTTTTAGCTGATCAGCCTCTTTCACCGTTGAAAAGAAGAACGACTCCATGGCTTCCCTAAAACAGTTACAAGGCCATAATCAACTAAAACAAAATTAACACCAATGTCCAATACCTATCGCGATGGGTTCGTGATCGGTAAAAACTTACCCATTACGACATCACGTGTTTGTCCCGCACTATATAGGACGAAAGGAGGAAGCAGAAAAGATAGGTAATCAGAAGAAATATAAAAAGGTTTTCTTAGAGATACCTACTGAAATCGGACACCAAATTCTGGACATGTTACCATCGTGCTGATTGCAGGGAGACGTTTCCTTGTATCAAGTAGATATCACATAACTGGCATAACTATCATAACATTGAGGCAGCCAGCAATGATAGGATCTCCATCTGAAGTCCTGTGACGGGCAAAACCAGGTCCCTTGTTTTCAATCTAGCCTCGATTGAATGCCGATGCCGCAGGGATACTGCAGGGTATCCAATATCCACTTACCGTTTCATGAACGGACACTGATCTGGACGATCGGTGAAGTGGACGACCAGGTTCCATGGCAGAACCGAATCAGTGGCCAGCAAGTCAAATTGCAGACCAACTGGATAGTGCCTGACAAGCAAAACGCCATTTGGTATGATGTAAGTGTGACACACAAACAGAAGAACAGAAGAAACAGAAACAAACAGAAGAAGAAGACTGTGGATAAAATAATAGGCACTGATATAAAAGTTCATGGTCTTGAAGAAGTTGATCAGGTAATATATCAGTTAGGGAGGCAATACTGGCAAATATTTGGTTAATTCAGTCAATAGGTACCTATCTAATTAACTTGCGATCATTTGGAGTGCAGAGTGGACTGTATGATTTATATTGATTTCCACTTCTCAATCATGTTTAATTCATCTGCAGGAATTCAAGCAGAACAACTAGAGATTTCATTAAGGTTCTGAAAAAATGGGGTAATGTTACTGTCAATCTAATTATTAATTTCCCTCGCATACTCTACATAACCACCCATTCTCATGGAACTGATCTCCGTTGGTTGCCCAGCAACAAGCCTCGCTTAGCTGGGCAAAACGACGGAGATTCAGTAAATGACTCAGCTTGAACACTGACCAGCAGATTTGTATATAATACCCCTGCATGCATGATTCCCTTCATCTGAATCCTTCTAACACTGCTCCTGTGTGGATGTTTGAACGAATGTGTACTCCTGGGAATTAGAAACTAGTCACTAACTGTTTTCAGTTATGACTACTATGCCTTCTCTTACACCTTTATACTAACAGCATGATAATGTGTCTCGTTTTTTGCTTCCTTGAGTTTGTTTCATTTCCTAGCTGGGAGTGCCGCGACAATTGTCTTCATTATTTTCCTGGTGGTGTTAACGTAAGGTTCTGTGTGTCGTTGGGATAGAGGGAGGGGGCACTCCTGGTCACCTGATAATGGGTGGTGGTGTAGAAAAAAAGCTAACTCTGGTTTACATACCACTGGAGAGGCATGTCTCCCCACTCCAGCCACACATCACTTTTTGCATGGTCTGGATGGACACTTTGTGAAAAATGTCTTCGGACCTGGAGAAAATAAAAACTAGTTAAAAAGGAACAACTGATGCAAACATTTGAGTGAAACTGCAGTCCATGAAAAACATGAATTTGTAGCAACACCATTAGGTACCATAAGAGTTTGGGAATCACTTGCCTTGTCAATAACCAATGGAAAATATGTCATCCTGGGTATTAGCATGTAGAATGGATCTGGAGCAGATACTGTGTGCACTTCATTGTCAGCAAGCCTGAAGCAGACGGGCAGTCGTCCATCCCAGACATCTCTGAGAACTTGACGGTCCTCAAGCATCTTTCCACTGTCCTATATCTATATGCTGAAAATTTGGAACATACTGTCAACACAAGCCAGAAAACATCTCAATGAAAATCATTTTTCCCACCTCCAATTTTATAAGCCCACCTTCCACCCCCAATGTTAACAAGATAAAGTATTAGCATATTGATAGTTGTTTCACCTCCTGCATTATACCTGATGTTTCACCCAGTCTTGTATTGGTATTGGGTATCAATTCATGCTTTCAAACTTTTCACTCTATTTGGGCCCTATCTGACTGGCAATTTTCCACTCGTCCGCCTTCCTGGTGAGCAATTTTCCTCTCTAATACCCAAGCCGAAATACATTTTTGGGACGTTGATCTCAAATATTACTTCTGCTTCTGCCCCTTGGCCCTTACCCTACCAATGCCGTAGCGAATAATGATATTTATGTATAATCGCCATAATTCTTGCTTGCTTGTTTGACCTGTAAATCTCGGTATCAGACTATGGCTTACACTTTACAACTTAACAATTTCAGTACTCTATACCACCCCCTCTCCCACGAATCAGCATCTATATTACTATTTGTTTACCTATCAGTATCTATCGATATTACCGTTCTATTGGATATTACCTTACCAACACCCCAAGATCAACACACAAACACTTGTGGGAATCTCTGCGCAGCATTTGTCTGATGGGCGTCATACAATCGAAAGATGCGGCTACTAAAACTGAGTTCTTGTTCTTGCATACCTTATGATGAAAAGGACATTGCTCGCGCAGATTCATTCTGTGCAGATGGCTGACGGTGTTCCACTTCCAACTAACGAAAAGCGAGGCAAATTCTGAGTAGGGTTCTAAAATAATTCGAGGCACAGACATACTTAGCTCAGTCATCAGCAAATCGGCCCAATCGCAACCTACGACGTGGCGACAGCTAGCCGGGGTCCGTGATTTGTTCGTCAAATGCTTTTCGCACGGCTATTGTCGCTTTTTAGCTTAATTTTCGAATAATATTCTTAACCATAAGGTCAAGAACTTGCAAGGGAATAAAGTATTGCAAAGGAATACAGTATTGTCAGTCGTGATTTCCCAAGCATGAGCAGGCGAACTGCTACACCACTCACGCTTCTCGGTAGTGTAGCTACACTTACAGCTTCAAAAACGTAACATGAACCATGCATGTTTTATTCTAAAAGAGACACTATGTTCAGCTGGTCCATCGCATTTAATGCCATTTCGAATCGGTATAAAAGGCGCACGATACTGACGGTCAGTTACTGTTCGCGACTCCCGAGTCCCGAATGTCACATATGGAAACTTCGAATTGGGCCTAAATCGAAAGAGACACGTGCGATGAAATCTACTCATCAAACACCTATTCCTATAAGTCATTTTACCCGCGCCGATATACTTTTAAAATAATACACTTGATTCAGCCTTACAATACCGGGTGCCGATAGAACCATCGGTAAAATCTGCTGCTGTCGTAACATCGTATCATGCAACGCAACACGTTCATATTATTTCGCTGACACAATTGCTACTGATGGTTGCCGTTTATATCGTGACATTACCGTGGACGATGATATGGAAGACAATACAACTTGTTATGTACTGGTCACTAAATGCATTGCGTCATGATCCACGAAACACATCTCACAGGTGACATAAATCGTCTGTAGAAAATGTTCCCACATGATGCATCGAAACAATCGCAACAATACCAACTACAACCAACTATATGGAACCAAATAGTATCCAAATCGGTCATAAATCATGCATGAGTACATTAAACGGGAATCAGACTCACATGTTGCCAATACAGACAACAATAACACAACAAATCTACATACTTTAAACGTTAATTTAAACCACAACCTTGTGTTAAGCTCCACCACCAATCCAGCCGTCTCGTAGTTGGAAAGACCTTATCCTCGCTGACCAGTTTCCTTGGACTTTTGTGCGGCTGATACCACAGCCTTTATCAGGGAGCCTCGCACACCACTCTGCTCCATCTGGTAGATTGCTTCGATGGTACACCCTGAAACAGAAAATTTTACAACTTAATTTACAATCCCCGTATGAAAAATTGTGATTGGTTGACGAGGTTCGTCGCCAACAGACTACGAGACATTTTTACAATATAAGTGTTTCAATGCTTTGCCAGCTGTCATCGCCGGAATGATCATTGAGAAGGACACGACTCCACGGAACAAACAGACATCAAACGGTTTCCAGCTCCGCACCGCCAAGTCGCGGCGTAACCGCAAAACAAACATCTACCGTCAGTCCATGCGTTCATGCACAATAAAAAAGCCAGAGCAGCTCAAACCCGATAACTCGCCAACGGAATGCGAACGTTCTATCAACTGAAACAACGTCTGACGGGACCACGTGCTAGGTTTCGCTCGTCAAATTTTACGAGCTCAAAAGGTGAGTGAGATGAAAGTTTGTTAGGTTAAAAGTAAAAACATCTTTTTTAACCCGGCAGGCGGTGGGCCTACCAGCCACCTTCCGCGCGGTGGGGGGGGGGGGCACTTTTTTGCCCCCCCCCCCCGTATCTCCGAAACTACTGGACGGATCCGAAAAATTCAAACGGCGTTCGATAGCTCTGTCAAATTTATCGAGGGAAACCAAATTTCATTGACCTCGGGGTCACCGATGACGTCACAGGTCAGGTCAAAGATAAAATGTTTCACCGTTCACGGGGCTTCTAGGGAAAGCGCTATAACACCGAGTAAAACGCATTTTGTCGAAAATCAGCGATAAGACGCCAGTTGTCTAGTACATATGTTGCTATTAGAGGTCACTAGTCATAACAGGTCAGGTCACAGGTCAGGTCACCAAAGGTCACCAAGGGTCACCACATGAGCCCAACTTTACTAAGGTTATGCGATGCATGTTTTATGGCCAGTTTTTCATTTCCAACTCAATGGTGTTGGTTATAAGACCATCAGGTACGGTTTAGGTCACTTTCTGGTGGAGGTCAGGTCAAGGTCAGGTCAAAAAAGGTCAAATTTCAAAGTTGATATTTTTGCATAAAATGGGTATCGATTCGATGCAGCTCGTCACGGGGAGTCTAATGGTGGTCTTTGTTTTGCGCTACGAGGTCTAGAATTGCTAAAAATTGAGTTTGAAAATTTGATGTCATCAATTTTGAACAGTTTTTTCGCTATAACTTGGCCAAAAAAAGAGGTATCGATCTCAAATTTGGTATGTAGATAGAAGGCGGTAGGGGCTATCACATATATTCCGGTTTTTTCGAAATTCAAAAAACTTTTTGGATTTTTTGGCTATTATATTCAAAAAATCTATTTTTTGATTTTTGGGGGTCAAAATCCAAAAAATTCGAAAAACCGAAATAGCAGTTTTGTAGTTCTTTTAATTCCACACCTTTTATGTCTAAAACATTTTTCTGTATCTCTAAAGCTGTAGGCCTGACAGCTCTTCCCGCGAAACCTTTTTTTGGGTCGAAAATGGCAAAAATGACGTCACTCTGACGTCATTAGCGGCCAACCTATCGCAGCCTTTGGAAAAATTTTTGGTCACCATGTGCGCTAGCTGCTCCCGGGAGGGTACTGAAAGTTTGGTGACGATCGGCGCAGCGGTTCTCGAGATATATCGAAAAAACTAAAGGGGGGGCAAAAAATTGCCCCCCCGCCTGGAAGGTTAATACGAACCTGCCGGTGAGCAGACGTCATCCTTCAGCGCCCCCGGGTGTTTGCCGGTCTCCAGAACCATCTGCGCGCCGCCGATCATCGTGTGCGCCGCCAGCTTGTAGGCCAGCGGGCGGGGAATGCCCATCTTGACGCCGCCATCGGCGAGCGCCTCCAGCATCAGGTAGATGTACGCGGGTCCTGAGCCGCTCAGCCCGGTCACTGCATCGATCAGTACCTCGGGCACCTCCTCACAGAAGCCCACCGAGGAAAAACACCTGCCGGATAACGCACACTCAGCACGTACTGCACCTGGCATATTGCACTAAATAAAACAAGTGTTCCTAATATTCTGCAAATAATTTTTTCATGAATGGCCAGCGGTAAAAAATATAAGTGAAAATGTGACTTGCTTGTTACATGTAGTTGTCAACGAAACGTGATAAAAAGACGAAGAAAAACTCAAGCCGAAAAAACTGAAACAAATCGGGCAGTCACATTTTCAAATTCAATTTCCAAAACTTGCCAAGTATACACGATCTCGGTTTTTGTTTCGGTTGGCATGCGAAATAAATGCAATTCAACAATATCTCGAAACCGTTGCGGTCATAAGACACTTTTTATGCCACGCAAATGGCGGTTTCGTTGAATGAATGGACACGTTTTCACGTTTCACAAAGGGTCTGTTCCAGTCGCACTTCCTAACACCTCTAAACTCCTCCAAGATTGCTTCCCTGTTTCAGTGGCAGCTCTAAGCCCCTACAAAGCCAAGGAGGGCCCTGCTCCAACATCCTCTATCTTGCTCTTAGAGGAGTTTAGAGGTGTTAGGAAGTGCGACTGGAACAGACCCAACATTATGGCAAGTGAAAACAGGCCAATCATTACAACTCCGCCAATCCCAGCTCCCCGACGTCCCGGTTCCCTCGCCGCTCTCCTTCCAGCCGGTTCTAGCATCATGCTGCCTTTGCCTCTAACTTTTAGCTAGTTTAAATCCCAAAAGCATAAGGCCACCTGGAAACTGGGATGTTGTCAAATGACTTCAAGACTAATTAATCAATCTGATTTTGACTAGAATAAGTGAAGACTGGACGAGGTGTTAAATCTAATCCAGATTAACTAAGGCGTAGTGACTAGCCTGGCTGCTACTTGTTTTTAAAACCACTCGTATAAGCTCCAGAACCTTGATCGTGATAACATCGAAACACCATGAAACACATAGCAGTTATATTCTCCATCGCCGTTGATGGTGTATATAATATCTAGGGCTTGCAGCGTTATTGTCAATTACTGACCAATCTCTTTAAGATTTGTCCACCCCTAAATCAAGTCTGGAGCCAGATACGGATACCCAGCATTGTCGCTTATGCAAACGCTATAGGTCTGAGCCCGCGGACAGGACCAAGAGAGCGAGCACGGACCGGCTGGGTATCGGGCGGGGCGGAATGAACGGTCCCTTTCTGGTTTCTACCTCAACGGCAGTTTCCGGTTACACGGATCGACACAAAATTAAGTTACACCTATAACTTTGCTAGCCTAAAATAGTGATCAAATCGGGGGGAGGGATGGTAGCGTTATGCTCATTACCGAATTTACAAAATAGAAATGTATCCCGAATGTGAACTGAAGATTCGTTGAGGCATATACCTATGCATAAATTAATTTGCATCATGTGCGCAATAGATGCTTAGTAGTGCTAAAAGGATGGATGTCAAACTCTTCATGAAAGTGTTTCCGGTCAATGAGAGGGAGCATCAAGGGGAGGCCAGGTATCGGGTACCGTTTCGCGATGAGCCCGTCTTCTTCGGTGGCGCTGCTGCCACAGCT